CAAGATTTTCACTTCGATTATAACATTATTTACATTTATATATTCACTAACCTGCTCTAGAATTGTTCAAACTTCATTTTCAAGACCTTTTAGACACAGAAAGTATGATTTTCCTTGGTTTTAGCCACATTTTTTCACCTTACAAACATTCTAGAAACGTGCGCGAGGACAGCCATTTTGAAATTATTGTAAACCTCGCTTTCATGTTCTTGTTGCTTAGCAATAGGTAATGTCACGCAATGGTGACGAAAAAATTGTAACAGTTTTGTAGCTATCGTTTTTCAAGTGCGACAGGTTTTTACACTTCTCTTTCCGTGATAAATTATCAAGTTATTCATATTATATATTGGTGGGAAGCCACAAGTTTAAGGTAAATATGTTTATAACACTGCTTTTGTACTTTATTGTAAGTTTTCAGTAACGTAATCTTTACGTAACGCTGTAATTTTCTTCATAGTTGAAGTCTGCCTTTTACAAATAAAACTGTATTTGGAGGCTCTGACTGCTTTATTCCCACCGCGATAACATCTCGGCCTCGTAGACTACGAGCTAATAGCCCATTCGGCCTCGCGGACTTCGGCCTCGCGGACTCGGCCTCATGGGCTATTAGCTCGTAGTCCACTCGACCTCGAGGTCTAATTGTTAAATATTAACAGTTGCAGGAAATTTCAGTTCAGAATTGATTACTTTTTCTTTATATTGATGCAACTGTAACTATTCTAAATCTTTTTAAAGCCTATCAAGGTCCTTAATTAATATTGAACCTATACTTGTCTACGTAACCACCTGGATCCATCCAAAACAATAGAAAATTATCGAGACCGGAATCAGTCCAAATTGGCAGCTATTTTTAAAAAGATCTTTTAGACCACGAGATCGATTGAATTACGAGTATTTAGGCCATGATGTTGTCGAGTTACTATTCGTAGTAAGGCGGATGGGCATCAGTGAAATATTACGTCTACTTACCTTCGGCGAAGCATAGGTACAGTACAACCCCCAGAAGCAGTAAAGGTAGTGATAACTTCATCTCGTGAAATCTCTTGTAGGTGAATGCAGTCAATAAATGATCTAAATTTTAAAGTATCTTTCAATCAAACTGTAATAATTGATTCGACGGCTCACACACTCATAAAAAATAAACGGCCTTGTTGAGTTTGAATTCAGGGAGGTTGTAACGATTAATTAATCAAACTAGTGAAAACAAAATATTCAAGTTTTTTGTATTATATTGGAAGTAAAAAATGTGCGCTACGCTCAATCGGGAGAAATCGTTTCAACACTTAAAGATAATAACCATATCTTCGCACGCTAACGTTTGCCAGGAACAAAGTATTTTAAGAAGGAAGGGCGCCACATTTGAGATTGTCAACAATGTAGCAAAAAATCCCTCTCCCAGGAAAAAAATCGTACAAGAACATTCATTTGAAGAAAAGACCCCGTCGGCTCCTCCCGTGTCGATTTAATAAAATTATGTTCCTTTTTAAATTATTAGATTAGACATTGATTGAAAACAAATTTATCAAATCTTAGTCCTGTAACATTATTGAAAGAAGAGTAATGAGAAAAGCTTGGTATTGTGTTACATACCTATTGTGACGTGAAGTAAGTAAATTTGATCCTGGTAAACAGGCGCTAAGCTTTTGCCAATTGCCTTGTTTCGTCTAGGGTGAGAATCCTGTCGATCATTTAAATCAAGTTCAAAAACAGGTCCCACAACCTGTGTCTGCCATGAATTATAGATAGCTTGTCGAAATGGTTCATTGGGTAAGAAGTGCTTGCCTTGATTGATTTCAGTGGACTTCCTCATTGCTCGGCCCGAAGTGCTAGACCTTAGTTCTGCAGGCCGAAGAAGTATAGTAATCCGGACAAACTTTCCTGTGTGTTGGTATCGACGAGCACCCAAACATAACATTTTGCAGCAGAGCATCAATGCCTAAAAATATTGAATTTAGTCATGTTGGCGNTCGCACGCTAACGTTTGCCAGGAACAAAGTATTTTAAGAAGGAAGGGCGCCACATTTGAGATTGTCAACAATGTAGCAAAAAATCCCTCTCCCAGGAAAAAAATCGTACAAGAACATTCATTTGAAGAAAAGACCCCGTCGGCTCCTCCCGTGTCGATTTAATAAAATTATGTTCCTTTTTAAATTATTAGATTAGACATTGATTGAAAACAAATTTATCAAATCTTAGTCCTGTAACATTATTGAAAGAAGAGTAATGAGAAAAGCTTGGTATTGTGTTACATACCTATTGTGACGTGAAGAAAGTAAATTTGATCCTGGTAAACAGGCGCTAAGCTTTTGCCAATTGCCTTGTTTCGTCTAGGGTGAGAATCCTGTCGATCATTTAAATCAAGTTCAAAAACAGGTCCCACAACCTGTGTCTGCCATGAATTATAGATAGCTTGTCGAAATGGTTCATTGGGTAAGAAGTGCTTGCCTTGATTGATTTCAGTGGACTTCCTCATTGCTCGGCCCGAAGTGCTAGACCTTAGTTCTGCAGGCCGAAGAAGTATAGTAATCCGGACAAACTTTCCTGTGTGTTGGTATCGACGAGCACCCAAACATAACATTTTGCAGCAGAGCATCAATGCCTAAAAATATTGAATTTAGTCATGTTGGCGAGTTTTTTTAAGCGTTTAAGTTCATAGTTATATACTTCTATCAATATTTGTAGGCATTGATGCTCTGCTGCGACATGTTGTGTTTGGGTGCTCGTCGATACCATTGTTTAAATATGTTGAAATCTTCATTTTGTTATTTATTTTTTATGTGCCCCTCTTCTTAACTTCAAATACGTCGTTTCTGATGAAGACGAACGTCGTGCACTATCCAAGTATCGCTTGCAAATTAAACATTTATATTTGCAAAGAGCACAACCAACAAGACAAAATATGAGCAATAATGATAATATTCGCGCCATTATTTGAATTAAAGTATCAGCTGTTTCAAGAGTCCGCGATCACATTGAATTAATTTAATTGGTCTGCGGTTGTGTGCATGCGCATGCAAATTTCCCAGCTGCTTCAGTTAAATGTTCAGTCAAGTTAGATTATTTACAACTTTCTAAAAGGGCGCGAGATGTCACGGTCACCGACCAGGTCACTGGAAACGAAGTGGTACGAGCATTCTCCGTATAGTAAACATCGACGGTGTCTTGTAAGAGTACTTTGTTTTAAATAGCATGCCCATGCATCTGTCAAACTTTCGGACACTGTCATACATGCGATCTTCGTAGGGCCTTTAAGGTCTCGTTTCCATGATTCATCACTAATCCCCGAATATATGCGGTTGCTAGATACCGCCATTTGGGAAAGTCGTGTAAAGTACAGGTAAATGAATGGACCCTGTTGATGATTTAAATCAAGTACTTAAATCTATACTTATCTTTTGCTATCATTCATTCAGCCCGCTCAATTCCCTGCACGGAAATTCTACCTGGCCAGAAAATCCGGACATATGAGCCCGCAATCGCAGCGGTACTTCGCATAAAGCACAAAAACATGTTTGTTAAATTTTACAAAGAAATGTACGGATCAAAAAAACTATTTGATAGTAACATTTGATCTGTTTTACCTGGAAAGTTTCCCAAGATGAATCCCTAGAGGAAACTATTCTTGATTCCACTGTA